TGCCCTTCCTTATCCTTTTTGATAGTTTTAAGTTGAAAGTCGATTTTATTCGATATTAGAATGGCTACTCCCGCTTGTTTCTTAGGTCCACTTGCTTGAAAAATTGTTTTCCAACCTTTTACTCTAAGGTAGTGTCTGTCTTTGTCACTGAGGTGGGTTTCCTGTAAGCAGCAAAAAGCTGGGTCCTGTTTGCGTATCCAGTCCGTTAGCCTATGCCTTTTGATTGGGGAATTGAGTCCATTGATGTTAAGAGATATTAAGGAGAGGGTGTTGTTGCTTCCTGTCATTTTTGCTAATAGTGGAGACATCGTTTGTGTGGTTATCTTCTTTTGGGTTTGATGGAAAAGGATTATTTTCTTGCCCTTTCTAGGGTATGATTGTCCTACTTGTATTGGAGCTTTCCTGCTATTATCCTTTGTAAAGCTGGATTTGTGGGAAGATACTGTGTAAATTCAGTTTTGTCATGGAATATCTTAGTTTCTCCATCTATGGTAATTGAGAGTTTTGCTGGGTAAAGTAGTTTGGGCTGGCATTTATGTTCTCTTAGGGTTTGTATGATATTTGTCCAGGATCTTCTGGCTTTTATAGTATCTGGTGAGAAGTCAGGTGTAATTCTGATAGGTTTGCCTTTATATGTTATTTGGCCTTTTTCCCTTACTGCTTTTAAAATTCTTTCTTTGTTTTGTGCATTTTGTGTCTTGATTATTATGTGACGGGAGGTATTTCTTTTTTGATCTAGTCTGTTTGGCGTTCTGTAGGCTTTTTGTGTGATTATGGGCATCTCATTCCTTAGGTTAGGGAAGTTTTCCTCAATAATTTTGTTGAAGATATTTACTGGCCCTTTAAGTTGGGAATCTTCACTCTCATCTATACCTATTATCCTTAGGTTTGGTCTTCTCATTGCATCCTGGATTTCCTGGATATTTTGAGATAACAACTTTTTGCATTTTGCATTTTCTTTGATAGTTGTGTCAATATTTTCTAAGGTATCTTCTGCACCTGAGATTCTTTCTTCTATCTCTTGTATTCTGTTGGTGATGCTTGTGTCTATGGCTCCTGATTTCTTTCTTAGGTTTTCTATCTCCAAGATAGTCTTCCTTTGTGATTTCTTTATTGTTTCCACTTCCATTTTTATGTCCTGGATGGTTTTGTTCAATTCCTTCATCTGTTTGTTTGTGTTTTCTTGTAATTCTTTAAAGGATTTTTGTGTTTCTTTAAGGACTTCATCCTGTTTTCCTGTGTTCTCCTCAAGTTTTTTGATAGTGTTATTTACTTCCTTCTTGTAGTCCTCTAGCATCATCATTAGAAGTGATTTTAGATCTGGTTCTTGTTTTCCTAGTGATATGGGGAGTTCAGGACTTTCTAATGTGGGAGAACTAGGTTCTGATAATGGCAAGTACCTTGGGTTGCTTGTGCTTGTGTTCTTGCGCTTGCCTTTCGCCATCTGGATCACCTTTGTGTTATCAGTGCTGTCTCTGACTGGGGCCTGTCTTTCCTATTATCCAGGCTGTGTCAGAACTGTTTGGGATGGGTTTTGCTGCTTGAGTTAGAGCTGAGGTCTAAGATGTGCTCAGTGCTCAGGTGGAAACCGGAAGGGGCCGGGGCTCTGGGTCAGGATCGGAATCCTGGGTCCCAGTGAGTCCCAGTGGGTCCCAGTGGGTCCCAGTTGCTCCCTGATTGGGGGTGAGCACTGCCACCTCCTAGCCTAAGAAACTGCTTGAGCTAGCTGGAGCCACCGAGAGCCCAGCTACCTCTAGGATCTGTGAGATTGGGTGCAGAGCTGACTCTCAGGATCTGCTCGGGCACAGACCGGAAGGAACCCACGCTCCGGGCCTGGAGTGAACTCCTGGGTCCCAGTGGGTACTAGCCACTCCCTGTTTGGGGGCAAGCACTGCCACCTCCTAGCCCAAGACCCTGCTTGGCACAGAGGTCCTGTGAGCCCCGCTTCCTCTGGATTCTGCGAGATTGGGTGCAGAGCTGCCTCCCGGGATCCGCAAGTCCTCGGGCCCAGACTGGATGGAGCCCGCTCCTGGCCAGGAGCGAATTCCTGGGTCCCAGTGGGTCCCGGTTGCTCCCTGTTTGGGGTGAGTCCTGCTTTTCCCTTACCTGGGATGCTGCGCGAGTTCAAGCTCCTGGAAGTCCCTGTTTCTCTCGGTTTTCTGGGGTTGGGTACGGAGCTGCAGCCTGTGACCTGCTCTATGCTCGGGCCCAAACCGGAAGTCATGAAATTACTCTTAATATTTCATACTTCACATTCACAGAACACATATCAAATAACATAACTTTGGTGAGTGTTCCAAAGTCAGATATCCATCAAAACAGAAGAATCTGGTTTCTTTCTTTCTTTCTTTCTTTCTTTCTTTCTTTCTTCCTTCCTTCCTTCCTTCCTTCCTTCCTTCCTTCCTTCCTTTTCTTTCTTTCTTTCTTTCTTTCTTTCTTTCTTTCTTTCTTTCTTT